GACTCAAATGTTGCTACATTGGAGTGTGTTCCACTTAGTAGAGCTGTAACAGGCACCCGAGTACCAAACCCATACACATGAGTGCGTGTAGCCTTCATCCCTCCAATTGCTTCAGTCCAAGCATGCGGATTGAATTCTGGCTGAGAAGATGAATCTTCACCATACTTTTACGATAATATAGAATTATACATTTCCTACATAAAAAATTAAATAAGATTAGTATTCAATTATATCATCAACTTTGAAGTAAAAATTAATCAATTTTGTACATACACTCGTAGATTTGGACTTGCTATCTATAAAATCACCATGACCCGTTAAACGCTTATGAGTGCAGTTGAACACTTCCAAAAAGCTAACATCTCATTTCATCTCAATTGCCTACATTTATTTACAACTATATAAACTCAATCGTAATCGATATATATAAATAACATGTAAAGAAAAACCAAAGTCAAAGTACTAAACATACAATTTAAATTTAATTTGAAAGAAAACCATACATATAAATGCGAAGTAAGATTAATTCATATCATCCTTTTGCATGGACAACAAATGGAACTGAACCACTAGTGTGCTTTGCAATGCTTCATTCTTTTGGTGTTAAATGATTTTGCCTTGCTTTTCTTGATTTATTTTGCCATTCTTCTGTACCCCATACCATATCGATAAAGGCATCCCAGATTTCATTTGTGATTCATTCCCTTGACATGCGTTTGAATCCTAATGTTGTTTGTTTTGGCTTCTGTCATTGCTTTATTTCTTTCTTTTGAAAACATGTCTCTTAACCGATCGAAACAAATTTTATCTCATATTCATCGAACTAAAAGATCTTGATTTGCAGGCCAAACACATTTTTCCTACATCAAAATAATAGAGTAACTAAAAAAATTGATACAAATTAATTGAAAACAAAAAGTTATAATTTAATTGAATAACAAACATAGTACTTGAAATTTTTGAAACATTAACTCCTTTATGTCCTTAGGGACTTTCCTCCATGTCGACCATGGACTATGAAAGTGATTTTTTATGATCTTTGTTATTGTAGCTGTGGCCCCTTCGCTTGGAAAAGGTACTTTACAAGATAAAAGAAAATTATTACATATTAAAATATATAACAAATATAACTATTTCATTATAATATAAGATAACATATCTCTCCCTAATAAAAGTTATCACAATTTGTCGAATGGATCTATAGGAGTCTGTAATCCTACACTAGGCCCCTTACCCCTTGACCTTGCGGATGTATCATCTACACTTGCACCTAAATCAATAAATGAGGATCTACAAGAATCATGAGTAGATGTCTCATTTTCTACTTGCTCTACAGATGCACCTAACAAAGAAGGTGGCTCAAAAGGCATATCATTATCAACCTGCTGCATTTGCGGTTGAATGAATAAATCAGCAAACGCACTAGCATTTATAAGTGACGACATAATTCCGAAGGCATTTGTTGATCTAGGTCTCGATTTCGAATGCTTCCTTTTACAATTGTTCCTATAATATTTTTTTATTAAAATTCATACACAAATTTTTTATAAAAAATTGAAACAAAGTATAAAAATCATCAATTTACAACAATCAAAAGTAATTCTTAATCATTTGTACAATAAATGATTCCATTATAAAGTATTCATTTCAACATTTATAAATATAAACTATAATAATTTTACAACATGTCAAGATCTTTCAATATTATAAAATTAAAGTTAAACAACAATGTAACAAAAAGTATAAAACTAATATCATATATGTCTACCATCAACAATCACTTTTAGAATAAGTAAACTCATGTTCATTATTATCACTATCATCACTAAAAGTTCCTTTGTCTCCATCTTTAACTTCATCTTCATTTTCATCTCCTTCCATGTCATCTTCTTAATCTTCATCTCTTTGCATGTCATCTTCTTCATCCTCAATCAAGAGATTAACCTCTTTATAAACACCACATGCTAAAACTGTAAAGTTACCAAGTTCTTCCGATGGAATACCATTAATTGAAATAGACACATCTTCTTAGTATACTTTTTCATTCAAATCAATTTCATTTGCTCTATCTCTATTACTAGGAATGTGAAATCTACTCCTATCTTTTATTTTAAATACTACCCACCAATCACGTCGATCTTTTTTGGGGGATGGATAACTACTATAATAAACTTAGTAAGCTTGTGCAGCTAAAACAAATGGTTTATTGGTGGCAAGTATTGAGTTGTGTTTAATTTCACAAGACCATGCAAAGGATCTACCTTAATACTTTTTTCAAGGTCAAACCAATGACACTTAAATTGCACAACTCTGTTTTCGATGTCAAAATACTCTAACTCAATTATATTCGTTAAAATAATATAAAAGTCACACTTATAATCATTGTAAAACTCCCTTTTATGTAAACCCCATTATTCATTGTCTTACGATTTTGTCCGTAATCTAGGGTGTGAAACTTGAAACCATATACAAAATATCCTTTGTAACGCCTTATCATACGTCCTGGACCATGAGAGATTTCAAGTATACGTGGGTCAATTTCATCCTTACATTTAGCAATCTACGAACATGAAATACAAGACCAAAAATTATTAATTACATAATTAATGCCTCAATGTTATTAAAAGTTCACTTCTAATTTACATAAATTTACATAATTTTTAAACCATTTCACGAATCTTGCATCACGTACTTTCTCCAATTCATCTTCTGAAATATGTATAACATCTCCCTTCACCTATCATCATATCCATAATTTTTGAATTAAGTTCATTCTTATGATCAATCATTTGAGTTAATGGTAGAATGGTACTTAATATGGAAGCATCTCGTCACAATGCATTAAAACATATAGCTCAGCAGCATCAAACTCATCCTCATCTAAAAATCAAGATTTATTTAATGGACCAAAAGCTCGATCAAGATGAGTGAAAATTAAAAGACGACTAAGAAAGTCCACATCTCCCCCATCATCATTACATGGCACTCGATTTAATCTTGTTCGCATAGTAGGTTCAAAATACCATGAGCAAAATGAGGAGATTTTCTTAATCATATAAGCCTCACATATAGATCCTTCAACCAAGGCTCAATTTTTAACTTTCTTCTTTAAATGTTGCAAAAACCTAAAAATCAGAACATTCATCAAACTCAATAAGTACCTTAAACTCTTGTAATAAACTATTTGAAAACAAATAACAATTATAATACCTCTTAAATGGATACATCCATCGATACTAGACAGGTCCACCAACCTTTGCCTCGTAAGGTAAATGAATCAGCAAATGCACTATAGAGTCAAAGAAACTGGGAGGAAAGATCTTTTCTAGTTTGCATATAGTTTTAAGTATTTTTCCTTCCAAAGCTTTCATATGATCTATAGGTATTTCAATTAAGCATAAATCTATAAAAGAGTGAGATGTCTTAGTAATTGCATCCCAAATTGAGTGAGGCACCATATCACGAAAAACAATTGGGAGCAATTGTTGCAAAAAAACATGACAATCATGACTTTTCATCTCATAAAATTTGCAATCAATCTCATTAGCACATCAATATATGTTTGATGTAAAGCCATCAAGTAATCTCAATTGTTTCACCCAAGCACAAACATTTTTTATTTCCTCCTTATTTAAGGTGTACGAAGCCTTAAGCTTGAAAAGTTTTCCATTATTTTCCACCAATTCCAATTCTAGCTATTTGCAATACACCTTTAAATCTTGTTGTGCCTTGAAAGTGTCTTTCGTCTTTTCCTTAACATCCATCATTGTGTTGAATTTATTCTCAAAACATTACATTCAATATGCATCACATCTAGATTGTGATGAATAAGAAGCATATGCCAATAAGGTAGATCCCAACATATACTATTTTTCACCAAATTGTGACTTACACCATAACTGAAATCTTCTGCTCACCATATTTTGTTCAAAATGGGATATGAGGAAGTGAATTCAAACGTGACAATATTTCTTCACTTGATAATCGAGTAAAGGGTAAGTCATGCTCAACTCTTTTTTTAATAAATTTGTCTCTCTGCCTCTTAAAAGGATGATTAGATTGCAAGAATTGCTGATGACAATAAAAAAAACAAGGTTTCCTACCATGATCCAATATGAAATACTTAAAACGTTCCATGCAATAGGGACATGATAATAGTCCATGAGTACTCTACCCTGACAACATACCGTAAGCAGGAAAATTATTAATTGTCCATAATAATGTTGCCCTCATATAAAAATTTTGTTTCCTATATGCATCATACGTGACAACACCCTTGGTCCACAATACTTTCAACTCATCTATCAAAGGCCTCAAGAAAACATCTATGTTTTGACTTGGATTTTTCTTCCCCAGAATGACCATATTAAAAAATATATATTATTGTTTCATACATATCCATGAAGGTAAATTGTACACATAGAGCATTACTGGCCAAACAGAATAAGGTTTCGCAGTCAGTCCAAAAGGATTGAAACTGTCAGCGCATGACCCTAGTCTGACATTTCGAGGTTCCATTGCAAATACTTCATGTGTGCGGTTGAGGTGTTGCCAAACCTCACCATCAATAGGGTGTTTAAGGACTCCATTATCATTTTGGTTTTGTGCATGCCATGTCATATGTTCAATAGTTTTGCTTGACACGTAAAGCCTTTGAAGCCTTGGTATAAGTGGCAAGTAACGCAAAATCTTATAAGGTATTTTCTTCTGCCTTTTCACACTTGATTTTCTCAATTTATACTGAGGATGCCCACATATCATACAATGTTCCAAATCAGCAGTTTCTTTATAAAACAAGATGCAATTGTTTTTGCAAGCATGAATTTTGATATATCCCAATCCAAGTTTTGCTACCTTATTTTTCATTCTATAGAAGTCAGTAGGTAAACTTTTATCTGATGGCAACATATTCTTTATTATCTCCAACAGCCGATCAAAACATGATTCACTCAAATTGAAACTCTGACTTAACATTTAAAAGTTGCGACACAGCTAAAAGCGTTGTGTGCTTTGTGCAACTTGACCACAAAGGTTCCTCTGCATTACTTAACAAAGAGTAAAAGCTAGTTGCATTTGGATTTGAATCTTCTTCCACAAACCTTGACTCATTATCATGACTATAATTGAAAGCAACTTCTGAACCCATAACATCCCTAACCATTCTAGTATATGGATTTTTTATTTCCTCTTCATATGTAGGTTCTCCATATTCCCCATGTTCCCCATTGATAGCATATGGTTCAACTCTATCTCTACTTGTTAATGATTGGCCAACATCATGTTCCCTATGTAAACTCCAAATTGTGTAAGCACTAATAAAACCTTTTTGAAGGATATGCTCTATCACCTTATCGAAATTTAGAAACTTGTTTTTACTACATCGAGAGCAAGGGCATCTAATTCTCCCACATAAATGTAGAGTTAGAATGTGCAAAACTAATGAATTCGTTAACTCTATTTATAAATTCATCTCTAATGAATCCATCAGAAGTTAAGCGGTGATACATCCAAGATCGATCTCCAGTCATTTTGTAATCCTAAGTGTCATAGAATATAACAGTTAAGAGTAATTTCTATTCTTGTTTACAATAAAAATTGTTAACAACTACATTCCGTTATAAAAAACTAAGTTAAACATTTTAAATATAAATTTAATAAAATAATAACATGTCAAGATAGTAAAAATGATTCATACAAGAATAAAAAAAACAAAACGCTATAAAAGTGTAACTTCATTAACGAGTAGATAAATTCATATTCACCAGTTATTCTATGTAGCCATGAGTACAAAATCCTATAAAACCAAGTGACTGACAAATGAAATGAACAATGATCTGGTATAAACCAATTAAATGTACAGAATGCCCAGAAACCTTCTATATGAAAAGCATTCACATATAAACAGAGGAAAGTCTAAAAAACTTGTACTTGTAGAGGGAAACATATGTCCAAAACTCTTTTGCTTTTCTTTTTGGATAAAAAATAAGCACTATGAATTGGACCCCAAGCCATGATTACTTTTTTATGATTGAAAAATGAAAAAGAAAATAGGAAAGGATTTCCAACTTTTTTAAAGGTAAGGACTTTTGATATTTTTATTATTTATTCTTAAAAAATAAAAATATTTAGATACAAAAGTAAATAGTAAATTTTTTAAAAAAGTAAATAATAAATTTTTTAAAAATTATATATAATTTTTAATTGGTTTCATATTTTATTTGATTTATATCTTCTTCAATTTAAAGCAGCTTTAAGGGAAGTGACCAATTAATGTCATGACTTGCTCACTTTAAATAATTCATTCTCTTGTATTTATACATGATTTTGCAAAGAGATCTGCTTATTGTTATTTGCTTTATCAAATTTAACTAACACAATTCAAATAAATTCTCATTGTATGTCAAATAGTATATCCAATGAAGAAACTAATAAAAAATTAAATAAA